TACCAGCAGAGATGAAGGTGGAAATTACTCATGCTGGGAACTCCTACCGGACCCTGTTAAGAGCTTGGATGCTATTAAATGCTCCTCATTATGAAGAGACAGGGAGGTATAGCATCAGCCCATATTCCCAGAAATTCTGGAACTGGGCAGAGTCTCTCCAAAAATTTGTATTTTAGTTATTTTAAAAATAGGAGGATTGCTTGTATTAGATAAAACTTTATCTTCTACCAATTACTAAATAGTGTAAGATTATGAAATTCTGCATCGAATTTCCTAAGCACACCAAAATCAAATCATTTAAATTATATCTATTTCATATTCTGAGTGCATGCATTTGCAATTAGCTATGTCAGGCATTTTTCCTTCATTTAATTTCATCATCATCAAGTAGTATTTATTAAGCACAAACCTCGCTAATTAATTTTCTAGAGAATAACAGGTATTCTTAAATTTATTCTATTTTAGAGCCCTTAAATAATCTACCTGGTACATGACATTTTCCCTTAGCAAAAATTGTCTTTAAATTTTAATTTTACCTTATTATTTCAAGGTTTCCATAGGACACTTTTCAGTCCCAAAGTCAGTATATTCGAATAAAAAAATTAGACTGTGAGATTTTGGTTTTTACTATATGTTAATAGTCTATCTCAATCTTCAAAATATCACTATTCTAGTGATATTTTTCTAAAAGCGATTCATTGTTAGGTAAAAAAAAATAAGTAGTTTAAGTTAGTATAATTAATAGATGTAAAAATGCATTTTCTCCAAAAAAAGGTTCAATTGACATAGTACATCAAAAGCAAAGCAAAAACCAAACTAAACAAGCCACTGATTTCAGAATTCAAAATGTTTACCAAGTAAGTGAAAACATCTAAGATCTTCAATCTGATCATCAAGGTTTCATGGAGAAAAGGACAAGCTGATTTTTGTGTGAATTTTGGGAAAGGAGAGTATTTTTCTCAAGGTATTTTTTTTCTAAATGCAACAAAGACAACACTTCTTTTCACCTAACAGTAACAACAACACCACATTAACTTTAAATTCCTATCACAAAAGCGGAATCTTGGAAAAGCATCCTCATGGCATACTAACGTATTCCACTCATAGTGCCTGGGTCATGAAAAATTAGCACATATGCTTATGTCTAGTCTATGTTGGTTCTGGAAACAATTGCCCTGTACTTCAGGGGCAAATGCCCAGGAAGAATGACAGAAACTGAAGGGAACCTACAGACATACAGTAATGCATGTTATTGTTTAAGCATATTAGGATCAATACTTCTAGTTGTATTTGGCTGTTATGGTCCAAGGTCACCTTGCGCATTGCTAAGGAAGCTCAACGCGATGCCTCGGAGGGGGCCACGGACAACTGTAGATGCAAAGCAGTCTGAAATGGCAGATGCTGTGTCCTAACACGAACAGGGAAGAGTTCCTGGGTTCCTTGACTGGAATTTAAATATTTAAGCATTTGGGTAATTCTGAATAAGTAAAAGTATTACTTTGTTTTCCCTTAGAGTGAGTGAGAGATTCACTTCCTGGGCTAGCTGAATGCTCTTACTTTCAAATAGAGCTTTACTTCTCTGTTAGAAATGACTCAAATAAGAGCTGAAATGATAGGAAGCAGTAGCCTGAAAGGTAAGGGGGGAAACACAGAAGCCTCCCAGTGCAGTCCCAGTCATTCCAGGGTTTTACATCTGGCAAGAAGCAGGCTATCTTTGTTTACACCAACCGGGGAGAATACAGCACACAGAATCCACAGGAAGAATTTGCTCATACTTTTCAAAGGAGTTTAGTTTTCAAAAACCCACCTTCCCTAAAGGGAAACAACACCTTGAGAACCAATTAGTGGTCTGAAGGGCCAGGAGGAAGACTGTGCTCCTCCAGAAAGATTCTTTTGTTGGTTTCAGGTAAAAACCAGGGGCCAGATGCTAAAGCCCATGTTCCCCAAGCTTATCTCCCCTTTGCCCCGGGGACCTGCTGTCTGTTACTTTGGTATCTTCTGAACAGGGACAGGAACAAAGTCTCAAAACAATTTTTGTAAAACATAATCCTGAATCACAGAGTGGGTGGCAATTTTCTGAGGAGTAATGGCAGATGATTGGAACGGCAGAAGGAGAACAGCGAAATTCTCTTTCTGTTTTCCCTAGTGAATCAGATTTCTTGTGAGCAATGCTTAGGCCTCTACCCTTTCCACTGCACGAAGTAAACAAGACAAATGGATAGCAAACCTTCACAGTAAGGCTACATTCATGATTGATGCTGCTTACTGCCTAAGATCAGCTATAAACATGCTGTCCAGTGGGCTTTAATGGTGTGATCGTCTGACTCAGCAGACCAACATCAGGAAAGAAATTTACATAAATGGAAAGTGAAATCCTTCTGCAAGAAACAGGCTTGTTAGAAACTGCTTAGGTAAGGAGATGCTCACTTTCACAAACATGGACATACATATTAAACCAGCGCTCCAGTAGCCGCTTGCGCGTAAGTTATTGCCCATAAAAAAGGCTAAGATGTTTGCTTTTAATTTCCCAAAATTCATTTCCGTTTCAATTTTACTTGGAATAAATTCTGCAAATAGAGCTGTCATCAGGCATAAGAAGAGTGATATCAAGCTGATGTCCACCAACACGACCAAGACTCGCCCTCAAACGCAGCACATGCTTAGGTGGCTTGGCTCAGCATGACAAGCCTGATACAAGATAGTTCCAGGGCAACGGGCCCTGATCTCTAGGAAGATAAACCGATCGGATAAAGAGGCTGCATCTCAGGGCAGCATAGCACAGGGTCTGAAGGTAGACTGCCTGGGTTCAGCTCTCAGGTGAAGCCAGTCCTGGCTGGGTGACCACAGGCACACTGTGGAGGGGCACTAACCACTGCAATCATAATCCAGTGTGAACATCGAGAGTAAAACGAGAGAAGCCAGAGAGATACTTTCCATGCTGTCCAGCATATATTTGCACTAAGAACAATGAATGTTATTTGTTGTTGTTATTACTATTTTATTCCTTCTGCTCCTGGTTCTGCATTTTGGAGCTAGACTGTTGGTAAATTGGATGATGGGCCTCAAATCGCCATCCTTCTCTGCACCCACACTTTGCTATGGCTTCATCATGGGTGGACTGTATTTCCTCACACCTTGGATTGACTTTGGATTCAATCATATGACTTATTTTGGCCAATGGTGTGTGTGTGTGTGTGTGTGTGTGTGTGTGTGTGTGTAGTTACTGTGAGCCAGTTTGGATCCCAGAACTTATGAGGCTTCACCCATGGCTGTGGGCCCTCTGACAACTCATGGATTAAGAACGTGCTGCAGCTAGTCTGCTGGCCCAAGACACCAGGGATGTGGGGACTTGTCAACCTACAGTGTGATAGATGCTGGCCTGAATCTGAACCCCACTAGCTGCCCTGCAGTCATGAGGGTCATGAAGGAAATAAAGGTTTACTGATGCATGTTATTAACATTTTGTCACTTATTATACAACAAAAGCTGATGGATCCAACGAGTGCATTAAAGAATTGTCTCTCTATAATGCATTTCTTATTACCCAAGGAAAAAGACTGAAAAAAGACACTGCTTCGCAGTGTCTATGAAACAAAAGTGATACGGTAGGGTGAAGAAGAAAAATGGCCCTAGCCGGTTTGGCTCAGTGGATAGAGTGTTGGCCTGTGGACTGAAGGGTCCTGGGTTCAATTCTGGTCAAGGGCACATGCCTGGGTTGTGGGCTTGACCCCCAGTGGGAGGCGTGCAGGAGGCTGCCGATCAATAGCTCTCTCTCATCATTGATGTTTCTATCTCTCTCTCCCTCTCCCTTCCTCTCTGAAATCAATGATATATATGAAGAAAAATGCTCCCACAAAACCAGGATTCTAGGAGCAGGCTGCTTCTATAAACTTAAGTGGGTCTGCTTGGGTTTTGTGGGGGAGATGGCACATATTATTAATATCAAGATTATTAAAAAATGGCTAACATTTATTGAAGTCTTATCATAGGCACTGTGCTAGGCACTTTATACATATCGTCTCGTTTTTGTCTTCGCAAGAGCACCAGGAGGTAGGCACTACTAATTTTACTCTTTTTACAAATGAGGAAAGCGAGGCATATTGAGGACAAGTGCCCTGCCAACATTCACAGAGTGAGAGAGTAGCTGAGGCCGCACGCAAACTCAGGAAGTCTCACTGTCCAGCAGGAGCTGAAGGCGAGCTCAAGCACGTTTCCCTCTGTGATCACTTTACTGGTTTAATCGCATGGTCTGCATCACTTTATTTAATCCCGAGAAACCCCGTGGATTAGGTATTACTTATTATCCCCATTCTACAGATGAGGGAACGGGAACATGGCAGGTCAAGTTCCTTGCTAGCAGGTGGTGGGTTGGAATTGAACACAGGCCGTCTAGTTAACTATACCTGACCTCATGCTAACAGCTATGATCACACTCCCAACCCAAAGGGAAAAGGCAGAGTCCCATTCTCCCCTCACCCCCTTTTTGGGGGGAAATGTATAAGCTTCTCCAAGTTCAAAGGCAAATCTGCATTCCCGCACCATGGTTATCTCCAAGTGCATAAAATGTGATAAATGGCCTTGAGCTTCTACTACAATCACTCACAAGCTCCACTGAGCTTTCTTTCTTGCAAACGCAATTTTCTTATTTGCTGCCTTGACGTTGACTTATTTTTTTTCGTTCTGTTTTCCTGATGGTGTATTTTTAGGTTCAAGTCTGTCAGCTTACATATCCAGAGTCACTCGCACAGAGTCATAAAAAGAATGCAAGAGAGCATGTTAATCATGGTGGGTTTGTAGAACCATGCCTAGGAAATGAAATTAACCGCTTCAAGTAGGAGGAGAGACCCCTGCTGCCCAGATGTGTCCACACACACCTTTCTGAGTGCGGCAGGAAGGCCCAGTGGTCTCCCCTTCACACGCCTTCTCCATCCAGACCTCAGGCCCAAAAGCTGCACCTCTGGGTACCTCCCCACTGATGGGGAAAGATCATTCTTACCCACCTTAAAGGCAGCACCTCCATGGATGACGGATTTGATAAAAATTCCCATGTCGGTTCCAGTTTCTCTGGATTTGTTCCCTTTCAAGCTCACCCCCAGACCAGCAGAGCCGGAGTCGTTCAGGGGGATCTCAAAGGTGAGCTGGTCCGTGGTTTCCGGAGAGAGGGCCCGGCAATCAGGTTCTCCTTTCTGTTGGGGAGACAGACATGAGAAGAGTGGAGGGAAGAAAGCAGGTTAATATTCACATACTCACATGGCCAAACACAGATGCATTTGGTAAGATGGCGATTGGACCTCTAACAGCTGCATTCCTGTCCCTATGGGGCAAAGGGGGTTCATTCTCTCTGCAGGGGCCACCATGTCCACGGAGAGGTGGAAGGGTTTGGGGAATTATAGTTGGTAATGGGCCAAAGAGAGGATCCTTTGGCAAGGCAGGGCCATGTCATTTGAAACATCGCATAAGTATTTGGAATTTGGCAAGATATTCTCAATAATTAAACAGGCTGGGTATTAGACTTAGGGAATCCTAGGTGCCAGGAAGCCCTTAGATGTGGTGTGGTGGTAACACCCTTCATTTTACAGACAAAGGGACAGAGCTTAGTGTAGAAACACCCTAAAATTTTGAAGAAATATCTGGCATATATAATTTAAAACATATCATTTACTGTGAAAGCAATGCTACTGATAAAGATTGTCAATAGGATGCAGGGCATTGAGAAAAGAACATGCTATTAAGTTAGAGAGATGTGACTTGTAATGGATATCACTGAATTAAATTTTACTTTGTGAAAACTCAGGCCTTACCCATGCTTCTTTGGGTAATATAATTGACTGGCAACTCATTTTTGAGCCTAGACAAAAAGTATAATACACAACAAATATTCATGGTTGTTTGTTTTTTGTTTTTGTTTTTGACAAATGACCCGGAGCCACAAAAATAGCAGTTCTCAGAAAATACAGAGGATGGTGAAAAAGACAGGCATCCAGGGAGAAGCCCGTGGTTAATCATATTTGGTCCCTAGTATTTCCAGTATTTCCAAATATACACTAGAAAGTGATGCCCGCGTGGTCAACTTTGCAGGTGCCCCTCCTACATCTCTCAGGCTTGCAGAAAGACGAAACTCTGACACAGGGGTTAACCTTTGAAAACGAGATAGCCCTGGAAACCATCGGCTCTTGAGGTCGGTAGTTCCTTCCTCTCCATAATTATGTCTAGACACTCTCATCTTAAGGTCACTTTGAGGGACTCTTATGTAAAATTACATATTTTGAAAATTACTGTGAAGGTCTGAACGCCAGTCACAAAATAACAACTATACAATCAGAGGTAGCAAAGAACCCATAATTAAAACAGGATTTGGAGGTCTGATCATAGCCAGATCCACCAAAAAAGAGAAAATCCATGTCTAACTTTAAAGAAATAGTCCCTTCATTTAATTTCACTGTAAATGAAATTAGCTGTAAATATTTTGACAATAGGTAGTTTAAAAAAAATGAAACTTTGCTTAATTGAATGAACCTATTACAGGCTAGCTCTTTTAACTAACTCATTTTATTATTATCTAAGAAAAATTTCATTATTTGATTCAAACTAGCTGTCCTTTTTCCATTAAAATGCCAGAGTTAAATGTAAATTATTAGCCTGCATCTTTGTTTTCCAGAATACCTATTCGGAATCCATAACATTTCAAAACCATTTATGTGTCCAGATCTCTGTGGGATTTAGTGAATTTAAGAGTAATAAAGTTCTGCTGAATTAAAGTATAAATTAAAGAACAGCTGTTCTCGCTAGAAGTTTATGAGAGAGAAAGACTAGGAAGTTGCTCTGGCTTTTTATCTACCGAGTCAGTGCTTCCACCACTTTATTCTATAATCAAATCGGGTTTCTTTTGGCAACTGTTTAACTCGTATAAAGATTAACAACCACCAGTTGTACTGACACCTTTCATTTAGTGCATAAGTGGTACAAACAAAATATAAATCAGGTGAAGCATGGTTATCTTTTCATTTTAAACTTAAAAGGTATCTTTTTTTACGTCCCTGATATCAGAGAGCCAGATATAACAACAAAAACAAACTAGGGCTCACAGTGATTGAGTGGTTCTTTTCTGAGCGCTTCACACATATCCATGTACTTACTCCTCACACCAAGCCTTCGCGGATTATTATGATGCCCATTTATGGATGAGGAAACTGAGCTGCATGGCAGTTTGTATGTACTGTGTGTGCAAGTACTGTGTGTGCATGTGCGTAAGTAAAGTGTACATGTATGTAGTGCCATGTGTGCATGCATGTTAAGTACCACGACGACAGTCTGTAAGACTTGTCAGTGTGGAAGCTCTGTGGAGTCCAGGCAGTGTGGTTCCTGTGTCAGACTCTTCACTGCTGTACCGAGTCTCAATTTCTCTGAACCACCATGACTTGGCCTCACCACAAGAACTTCCAAGACAGATGCCTACAGGGACCGTAAGACACTATGCAATTTCACATCCTCCACTCAATTACAGTAACGTTTTATATCTTTCTTATGCTATACCAGGCTCAGGCCATAATTAGTGGTCTCTAATAATAGCAACATTCCCAATGGTGGAGGAAGCCATTACAGTAGTTAACATAGCCATTTCCTGTTAGAAATAAATGTCCCTTTACTAATGGACAAAAAAAAAGATCAATATGCTGAATGCCTTCCTCCAATAATCTTGGCTCAACTAGTAACTCGGAAAATTAAACTCAAATCTTGCCAGACAGCATTTTGGGGCAGGATGGAGAGAGGTATAAAGTCCTCACAAGGGCCCCACTGCAAGGCCTTCGTTATAGGATTGAGCCCCAAGGCAGTGGTACATGGGACCTTCAACTCTCCCCAGCTTCCTCGCTTTCAGACAAGGGCTCTTCCCACACTGTGCCAGGAGTATCCCTGCTTTCTCCACCCAAGACAACCAGAGGGAAAACTAAACCAAAGAGGCAAGCCTGGCACATCAAGGAAATCTTATGAATTTCATTGATTTATTTTATTGATTTTTTACAGAGAGGAGGGGAGAGGGATAGAGAGTTAGAAACATCGATGAGAGAGAAGCATTGATCAGCTGCCTCCTGCACACCCCCCACTGGGGATGTGCCTGCAACCAAGGTATATGCCCTTGACAGGAATCGAACCTGGGACCTTTAGTCCGCAGGCTGACGCTCTATCCAGTGAGCCAAACCAGCTAGGGCACATCAAGGAAATCTTTCATTGATTTCTGTCTTTTCATTACCTCTTATACTTTGCTACTAGAGGCCATGTCTCCAGAGTCAAAGTCCTCGAGGTCCCTAGAGCAGGGCCCAGGATGGATGCTCAGATGCCCAACCTGCAGGCACCCAGGTCCAATGTCCTAGCTCCTGCCCTGGGCCAGCCATACAGGATCCTCAACGCAGGTTTTCTCAACCTCAGCACGACTGGTATTTGGGACCTGATAACTCTTTGTAGTAAGGGATGATCCCATGCACTGTAGGATATTTAGCAGAATCCCTGGCTACTACCTACTAGATGCTGGTAGTAGTTCCTTCCTGAGTTGTGACAACCAAAAAAGCCTTAGGCGTCACTAAATGTCTCCTGGAGTCAAAATTGCCTCCAGTTGAGAACCATGGCCCTGAATCAACAATTGCCAGATGTCGCTGAGGTTAAGGCCACCAGGATCCAGAGAGGCACTGGAACTGCAGAACTGCCTGTCCCTATGTTCCCAAGTCCCAGAATGGGGCGGCAGTAAAAGCCTCTTCAATTGACTAGGTCTCAGGCTCATAGGTTCATGACTGACCACTTACTTGGTGAACTATTAGGGAATTCTGCACTTGGTTATGTCTGGTTTTATAGCAGCTAATTTTCCAAAGGCAGAAATGTGAATAATGTGGCACAGAGAATGAAAAGTGATAAGTATTAAATTTATTGGAACATCTGTAGAATACTACCTTTTACTTACCTAAGAACTGAGAAGAAAAAGGCAGCCTAGCAAGTGGTGTTTGTCAGGTTAGTATTGCTTGCATGTATGTTACTTCTGTACTCTTACTTATTAAGAATTGCATAATTATGGAACATAGTATCGACACGACGACTTTTAATGTGAGAATATATGAAATTAAGCACAAAAACTTATGTGTGCAGTATATTTCAATTATGTAACATATACACTTCATACACATAATCAGATAACTACTCATCTACCTATTACCTACCTGCCCCTCATCCTGCCTCATCTGTTTCTACAGAAAATAACTTTGTTATCTACTGGCACTGGAATATGGACCATTCTTATGTGGAAGTATATATAAGTAGAATACGTGCTACATATATGTTCTTTTAAAACTATATATAATTATATAATATGTACACATATTATATATATACACTAGAGGCCTGGTGCACAGATTCGTGCACTGGTGTGTGTGTGGGGGGGTGTGGTGTGTGGGGATCGTCCCACTGTGGGAGTGCCTCTCATCCCGGTCAGCAGAGTGGCTATGGACCCACCCTCTGAGTGGCTGCTGCTGGATGAGGAAATTAGTCTGAGCTGATATTTCGGGGTAATGTCTTAGGTAAAGGCATGTTCTGTGTCCTGGAGGAACCTGGCAGAGGGCTTTGCACCCCAAAGCGACTCGGTGAATGTCCTTGATGTGTGATGCCAGGTCAGAGACACCATTGGGGATATTCAGAGTAGCCATGCTCCAGGATCCTCAGCCAGCAGGACAGCTTCTCCGGGGGGAGTCCACAGTCCTATCCCCTCTTGCCATCCGTCTATGCCAGCTCCCCATGCTCTTTCTAGAACACACCTTAGAGGGTCTGCATCAGCTGGTGGGGTCAGGCCAGTCTTTCCCCTTTCAGACTATACTTTCTGCTCCTGGGGGAGATAATATCCCAGTCCAGCTTCAATATCAAATTCTCAATGAAGGCACTGGGCTGTGCCGTAGCTACCAATGTGTGATAGACTTTTGACTGTTCACGGTTTTTTAAATTGCATCATGTAGCTCAAGTCACAAGTGAACACTGCAAACAGCAACATTCATGGTACATTTCATCAAGTTTGGGAAGCACTGTGATCAAGTCCCAAAAACTACATTATCTATCTGCTTTCTGTTCTTTCTATCCTTCCATGCATATATGTATATGTGTGCACACACACAAAGACAAACGTTTCATGAGAAAATACCCAGCGTGCAATGGA